GAACATGGTGTTAGTTCCCCCCCCCCTCACATTAGTATCCCACTTTTCAGCCAAAGTTGGTTCCCAAAGCAACTCCCAGCAAAGACCAATAGAAATACCCAATGGAAATGAGATTCTCTACTAGAGCTGGATGCAGGCATGAAGTAGGGAGGCATTGTTGTGTGTGTGCAAAGTTCTGTCAAGAATAGGGCTGCAGTGGCTCAAGTGGTTAAGACACTGAGCTGCAGACCAGAAGGTCGGTAGCCCAGCAGTTCGAGACCTGAGTGCCGCATGACGGAGTGAGCTCCCGTCTCTGGCCCCAGCTCCTGCCAACCTAGCCGTTTGAAAGCAAGAAATTGCAAGTAGATAAATAGGTACCGCTTTGGTGGGAAGGTAACAGCATTCCATGCGCCTCGGCGTCTAGTCATGCCGGCCACGTGACCATGGAAACGTCTTCGGACAGCACTGGCTCTTCGGCTTGGAAACAGAGGTGAGCACCGCATCCCTAGAGTTGGATTTGACTGGCTTTCGAGCAAGGGAAACCTTTACCTAAAGTGCTGTCAAACTGCATGCTGGGATATTTAGCACAGTACGAAGGCAGCCACACATGTGTATGAGTTTAAGAAAAAGAAACTTTACTGCATAAAGGAGAAAAGGGTTACATTAAGCGGTCAGGGACCCACGTACCTTCAGGACCACCTCTTCCAATATGTCCCCAGAAGAACACTCAGATCAGCTGATAACAACTTGCTGGTGATTCCCGCGGGGCCCTAGGGAGGTCTGGCTGTCCTCGACCAGGGCCAGGGCCTTCTCGGTCCTGGCCCCGACCTGGTGGAACTCTCTGCCAAACAACATCAGGGCCCCTGCAGGATGTGATGCAGTTCGGCAGGGACCGTAAGGCAGAGATGTTCTGCCAGACTTTTAGTTGAGGGCAGCGACGGTTAAGACTGGCACCCTTTTTCTTCCATGACCCCCACATCCCCTGCCCTGCCCTGCTGTGCAGACAGCACTGTAGCTGGCAAAAGGGGTTTATAATTGCCGTCTGGACTAGTTAATTTATTGGTGTATCGTGAGAATTTTAGGCTGATAGTATTTTTAACTGCTTTTAAGGTTGTGAATCGCCCAGAGCCTGCTTACAGGGTGGGCAATTCATAAATTTAATTAAATACATAAATAAGTAAAATAACATACTTCCTGTATAACTAGTTCTAAGTTCCATGTTGACTGCTTGGATGCTAAACCTCAAGTGTAGGAGAACAAAGGAGATAGTTTCCTAACAGTTCCCCACCTCCTACGGACGTGCCCAAACACACATAGCACCCCAGTGGAACTTGACCAGCCAACAGACATTCTACAACTCACTTCATTATGAATATTGTCACCTTCTCTCTGGTGGGAACTACCTGTGTAAGAACTAATTGGCCCTAAGCTGAATAAGTAACATTTGCATGCATAAGAAGGAGGAGGAGGAGGAGGAGGAGGAGGAAGAGGAGGAGGAGAATTGGATTTATACTCTGCCCTCCACTACCCAAAGGAGTCTCAGAGCGGCTTACAAACTCCTTTCCCTTCCCCTCCCCACAACAGACACCCTGTGCGAGCTCTGACAGAAACTGCTCTTTTTCAAGCTCTTATCAGAACTATGGCTTGCTCGAGGTCATCCAGCAGGTGCAGGTGGAGGAGTGGGGAATCAAACCCGGTTCTCCCAGATTAGAGTCCGCGCTCCTAACCACTACACCAAACATAAACATATTAACTCTTTCATTGCTGAAGGATGAACTTGCAAACTGCAACACTGCTGCTGACTTGCTGCGACCGTGCCGGGTTTTCAAGGCAAGAGACGTTCAGAGACGCTTTGCCATGGCCTGCCTCCCCATAGCAACCCTGGACTTCCTTGGTGGTCTCCCGGTCTAAGTACTAACCAGGGTTGGTCCTATTTAGCTTTCAAACTCTGAGGATATTGGGCTTGCGCCGTTATGCTCTGCCTTTTCCTTCCATCAATAGCAGTTAGATGGAAGCTAGAAAAACTGGAGCTCTCAGTTGGAACTACGTACAGGCTCAGTGGAGGTTTCGATATAAAAAAAATCTCAGCTCGGGAAAAGAGATCTTCTTTCCTCCGTCGACGGTAATGAAATTTGATAAGAAGAATTATTTGGAAACTGACTCATGTTTATGTGCATCAACAGCACACAAGAAAACAAACGGAATAGGAGAATTAGAAAAGAGGCAGGATGAAAACACGGCGAACGTATAGGAAACTGAAACAAAATGAAAAATGACCTTTTTTTTGGAGGGCCCAGGCTAGCCTCGTCAGATCTCAGAAGCTAAGCAGTGTTGGCTCTGGTTAGGAGTTGGATGGGAGACCAGCAAGAAAGTACAGGGTTGCTATGCAGAGCAAAGCAATGGCCAATCACTTCTGTTGGCCTCTGCTCTGACTTGGAAGACCCAGGATAGCTTGATCTCATAAATGCACAGGATTACATCTGGGCCACAAAAAAGGTCAAGCACAAATACTGGATGGGGGATACGTTTCTGGGGAGTAGGGTATGCGAAAGAGATCTTGGGGTAAGGGTGGACTGTAAACGAAATATGAGCAGTCAGTGTGATGCGGTGGCAAAAAAGGCAAATTCAGTCTTGGGTTGTATTAAAAGGGGCATAGCATCCAAATCGCAGGAGATACTGCCTTGGTCAGACCGCACCTTGAACACTTTGTGCAGTTCTGGAGGCCTCACTTCAAAAAGGATGTGGACAAAATCGAGAGGGTGCAGAAGAGAGCGACGAGGATGAGCCAGGGGTCTGGAGACTGAGCCCTACGAGGAAAGGCTCGGGGCCTTGGGAATGTTTAGCTTGGAGAGGAGGAGATTGAGGGGGGACATGATTGCTCTCTTTAAATATTTGAAAGGCTGTCATTTGGAGGAGGGCAAGGAGCTGTTCCAGTTGGCAGCAGAGGAGAGGACCCGAAGCAACAGGTTTAAATTACATGCAGAAAGGTATTGGCTGGGGGGAAAAAATTCACGGTCAGAGTGGTTCAGAGGTGGACTCAGCTGCCTAGGGAGGTGGTGAGCTCCCTTTCACTGGCAGCTTTCAAGAAGAGGCTGGCCAATATTTGTCAGAGATGCTTTAGGCTGGTCCTGCATTGGACTAGATGGTCTGTATGGCCCTTCCAACTCTATGATTCTGTGAAATCTTGGCAGCTAAGCAGGGTCAGGCCTGGTCAGTGCTTGGACAGGAGACCAAGGAAGTCCAGGGTCGCTACGCAGAGGCAGGCAATGGCACAACCACCTCTGTCTGTCTCTCCCCTGCCCTGGGTGCTCCCGGCTGGCCTCTTCCCGTCAGAAGGACGCTAAGCAGGGCTGGCCCCGATTAGGAGTTGGACGGGAGAGCAGCAAAGAAGGCCAGGGTTGCTGTGCAGAGGTGAGCAATGGCAGACGGCCTCTGAAGTCTCTCGCCTTGAAAACCCTACAGGGCTGCCATACGTTGGCTGTGTGACTTGACGGCACTGTCCACATACAACACCAGGAGGCTTTCTTGGCCTCCTCGACAGCAGCTGAAAGGTGAGCAAGGGGCTTCAGGCGGAGAGCAGCTGGATATTCCCGCGTGGCAAAGGGCCGTGGCTCCCCGTTTCCTGCAGGCTCGCCTGTCCCAGTAACACGCGCTGATGACGAAGGGTGGGGAGAGCATTCCTCCAAACCATAGAGCGTCATGGCTAGGGACTTCTAGACTTCATTTCCCCTTGCTTTCCCTCCAGATTTTGCAATATCAAGGTTTACTTTGGAAGACTTAAAAGTTGCAGTTTTCTTAAGTTGGGGTAACCCCTCTCATTGTTAAGTATGAACCTATTTGAAGATCCCCCCCTCCCCTTTACTGAGAGAAGATACCTTGATCTCTTGGAACTTGGAAAATGTTGTGTGTTCCCTGATGAGAGTTCCAAGTGAAGGATATGTGTATGCACTTAAAAGGTTGATTGCAAAACTTTGAGGGTGTTTCCCCCCTCATTTTGCAAAGAAAACAATATGCAAAAACGGCTTTATCCAAGAGAGCTCATAAAAGCAATAATGAACGTCTATTGAGTCATGTCCACTATATTCAACAAGGGCTTGCTTTCACTTGCCATCCAATCGCGCGGTTATATTTTTAACCTGCCCTCCCCCTGTACAGCTAAAGGCAGAACACCAGGTCCTCCCCCCTCCATCTTATTCTCACAACAACCCTGTGAGGTTGGCTAAGGCCAAGAGAGATTCACCCGACGCCACTCAATATATTTCACAGCTGAGCAGGAAAGAAGGATTTAGGATATTGGAACACAGCTGAACCCTCCAAGGAGCAAACATTTACAGGCTCGTGAATCCCTGTTTGGCACAGACATTAATGAAGAACAGAAAGAAGCTATTGGGGGGGGGGCAAAGGAGGAAGGGTGCTGGATTTTATTCCAGAGGAGAGCTCAGGAACCCTGTAAGAAAAAACAGTATACAGTTTTAAGGGTCGAGTAAGCAACAGGTTTAATCCATCAAGAATACACATACCTTTCAACTAAAAACAAAACAAACCGCAAAACATCAACACAATACACTGTACGCAACATATGCAGGCTTTACAATGCAGGGCACGGCAAGGGGGCTGCTCCTCTCCCAGTGCCCCGACCCTCTACCCACCCACGACAAAGAGCAGGGCCTCTGTCTATGGATCAGCCAGCATGGCAGAGAGACACAAACCCAAGCCTGGGCTCGGAACATGACTGTGGGGGGAGGAAGGGTTCTTGCTCCCCCCCCCCACAGCCATTCTCTGCACTGAAACAGTGCTGCAGAGACCCAGGATCTCTCTACCTCCTCCGCACCAGTTCTGGGTGCTGCCATCTTAAATTTCCTCCTCCTCGAAACGAGACCTCCGTGGAATGCTCCCTGCTTGCAAGGGACAGGAAATCCTTTGTTTCTATACACCTCTCCTGCAAGGCCAAGCAGGTGGCATAAGGGAATTCACAAGAGGCATTCTGAGGCACATGCAAAGAATTAAGTCTCGTGGTCCACAGGGCCTCTCCTGGGAGCCGACGCACCCCTCTCCTCTGTGCTCTCGCCACCAGGCCGCACTCTGACCGTCCCGCAGGAACGTCTTCAGAAGTCTCTGGACTCATCGGAACTTTCACACTTGACAGTGGAGAACAGAAGAACCTCAAGATCCAAAGCTCGGTGGGGATGGGTGGGGCCTCAGGGTCCCCAAACCCAGCCCTTCCAGCTTCTTCTTCGGCGGCAAGAAGAATGAAAAGGAGGCACGGACACCAAACAGATGGACAACCATGGCGATGGCCTCATCTCCACACTGCCAAAGCTGGGTCCTCCTCAAGGCTGGTGCCCAATCATGGCCTGGAGCTGCCATCTACCCAAATTTCCATCTGGCGGGCTGAGGGGAGAGCAGCTCGGAACTCAATGCCTTTGGCTGCCATCAGCACCAGGGACTGCTTGGGAGGAGACGCCTTTTCCCTTTTGAGAGAAAGCAGACGAAATAAAACAAAATTAATACAACCAGGAAAGAAAAGGCTGCCCTTGAAGAATTCAGGGAGGCTAAGGTTATCTGCTGTTTATTTATGCCCCACGTGTCCGCCCAGTGGGGACCCAAAGCAACCTGGGGGTGGGAAGTGCCATCACGTCCCAGCTGACTCAGGGCGACCCTGTGGGGTTTTCAAGGCAAGAGGTGAACAGAGGTGGGCTGCCATTGCCTGCCTCCGTGTCGTGACCCTGGTATTCCCTGGAGGTCTCCCATCCAAATACGAGCCAGAGCCAATCCTGCTTAGCTTCCGAGATCGGGCTAGCCTCAAATATCTAACTTACAAAGCAACTTACAACACCATTATGTCCTCTGCTCTATTATATCCTCACAACAAAGCTTTGAAGTAGATTAGGCAGAGAGAGAGAGAGAAACTGCCCCAAGGTAACCAGGCGAGCTTTCATGGGAGTCATACCTGGTTGTACCAGATTTTAGTCCAATGCTGTAACCACTGTGCAACGCTGTCTACCGCTAGCTTAAGGTAAGCGAAACAGCCATTCCTGTATCATGTCATTGTGAATCTTCTGATCTTCCCACCTCATGTTTTCATTGCTATGACATTGACTCCCAATATGTTTGGATTTTTAAAAAATGTTTATACACCCAAAATAACCCCCCAGATTAACATTTTTAAAGGCACAAATTTAACTGAAGCAATTGTGAAGAGGTGTGGGGGGGAAATCAGGCAAAATTTCCAAACGGAACTAGCAGGCTTGCAAAATCAGGCTCATCGTACAGCCCTTTCGGCACTAACAGCTGGCACTGGAGAATCTGAAGAGACAGGCCTTAAGGGTTGACTTCGCAGCCGCACGCATTCCCTCTGCACTGGTGTTTTCCCCTCCGGTTTATTTATTTCTGTATTCTGCATGCATTCTGCATCTACAAGCAAAACTTGCATTTTTTGCCTAATATGGAAATGTCACATGACGTGTGGGTGGCGTCCAAAGTTTTTAAAAATTCACGCAATCGTCCTGCCACAGTTAAAACTTTTAACTGCAGACCCAACCCCTCCCTCTCTTCGTGATTCTGCAAAAAGAAAGAGAAGGGAGGGGGAAATCCAGGCCCACATATGCAAGACTGACACATTTGGGAGCAGGGAATCCCCTAGTCCTTTATATTTACTGATTCCTTCTTATGCTCTCTCTGACTTTTTAAAAGTTTGCGCGGGTGGGAGGACACATTCTCTTTTGTCTTTGGAGAAGGAAGGCAATAAAACAGAACAGGGAGGAAGCATCAGCCTAAAGAGAGAGAGGCGGAAATGGAGGAGGCCAGTGGGCAGCACTTAAATACCCGCAGAAACAATTCTACTTTAGAAAGGATTAGCGATTCAAAAGCGGATGAGGACAAAGAATCGCTGCAAAAGGAGTTTTGGTAACTGTGGAGTGACAGTGTGCTGGAAGTTGTCTGAATGCAGATTCTTATAAAACAAACGTAGAAACAAGAAAAAGCGCGCCACAAACTGGAAGTGAACGCAGGAGGGAACGTAGAACGGAAGAATATGATATGCTCAGGAGCCAAGGCAAAGTACGGGTGCAGAAAGGGCCTTAGTCCCAGACACGTCTGCTCACAGGGATCACAGGCTGCCTGGGACCACTAATCTGGTTCTCGGCTGGTAACCAGCCCACCTGCCAAGCTGACCGCCACCCATTCTGGGGAGTATCCCCCTCCCCCTCATTGTGTCCAGTCACTGGGAAGGCTAGGCTTTGCAGACTGGCATTCAAGATACCTTTTGTACTAGTTGCAAATGTCTTACATGAGTCTACTGTGCTTCCCACTTTCCCATTCTGGTGGACGAAAGTGGGTTCAGACCAGTTTATTTTGTTTCAATCCATGTTCCAGTTTGGTGTAGTGGTTAAGAGCGGCGGACTCTAATCTGGAGAACCGGGTTCGATTCCCCACTCTTCCACAGGCAGGCAGCTGGGTGACCTTGGGCCAGTCACAGTTCTCTCAAGAGCAGTTCTCGAAAGAAATCTCTCAGCTCCACCTATCTCACAGGGTGTCTGTTGTGGGGAGAGGAAGGGAAGGAGATTGTAAAGCCACTCTGAGACTCCAAGGGAAGGGCGGGGTATAAATCCAATCTTTTCTTCTTCTTCTTCTTCTGTGTGGGGAGCAACCAATACACCTCCAAGGCTGTACGTATTATGGGGGAATACTGCTGTAACATTTTTGCTCTTTCTCTGTGTGACCCCTTTATATGTAACCTCTTGCCTTCCTTATTTTGCTGCCACCAAAGGCTCTTGACTTAGACTAGTTAGCTGAACCCAAAGAACGGGATGGCTTAGTTTTATATGGTAGAAGGACAGAATGGTCAGCACGTGGGGTTGGCTCTGAGGTAAAAGTTCCACACAGAGCAGAGATTTCTCTCAGAGCACTCCACAGCACCTCTCCTCCAAATAAAACAGGTTTTTGTCCTTAAACATAAATAGAGTTCATAACAGTGTATAGGTTTCTGTATGGCTTATAAGCATAATGGTTTCAGATAGGTACACCAGCATAATGGTTCCTTTTAAAAAATATTTATATTTTTATTAATTTTTGTAAATAATGTTAACATTGCTATAACAAGTATTTACATAACTTAACAGGCCCCGGTCACACGAGCGGGATAATCCGCAGGGGATGGGAGGCTTTTTGAGCCGGAGCAAAAAGACGCGCGGTAGCGCAATCTCACCTTCCCCCGAGGCTCCATGCCCAAGTCTCCGGCAGCCTATCACACCACGCGAGGTAACACAGCAGCAAGGCATTTGTGCGCAGGCGTGGGATGCCGATGGGCGCTGGCTGCGACGAGCTACCACCGCTTCCTGATCAGACGCCTGCACGCGCCGCGCATTATCGGGAAACTAGTACATGGTTCCTGGTAGCTTTTAAATCCGCGTCTTCGGGCCGAAGCTGCGGGTTAGAGACGGGAGTGCGACGTTTCCCAGATGTTCGGGTATGATCGCGCAGCTCTAATCTGCAGGCAAGCCGTCCCTCCCACGGGGCAAATTGGCCGTGTGAACGGGGCCCTAATCACACAGACTTATTTTCTTACTGGCCACTTAGACCAATAACTTCCACACAGCTTAACTTCCCAACTTGTGCCCAGCCCAATTTCCCCACAGATTTCCCCCCCCCTCTGTTGCCCCTTATTTATTTATTTATTTATTTTTCGCATTTATACCCTGCCCTCCCCGATAGGCTCAGGGCAGCTTAGGCTAGCAAGTTCCACACAGAGCAGAGATTTCCCTCAGAGCACTCCACAGCACTTCTCCCAAGCTCCTTCCTCGGCACGCACACCCACTCTCACACAAGGCCTCTCTCTGAACCAGAAACTCAACTCTGGCCCCTCGGATGCCCTTCCCATCCCATCCTCACACATGTCATTCACCCATCCAGCCCCCTCTTTCTTACTCTACAGGACTGCAATCTAGATCACAGCAACATACGTTTAAATCCTCATTAAAACACAGAAGTAAAACACACAAAACACCACAATTGTGCAGGAATGAAATTTGGAGGAAAGCTTCCCCAGGAAGCCGAGAAGCAGCTGGTTTATGTTTGAGGGAAACTAATTTCTTGTCCTCTCAACGTTAAGTTCAAAAACAAAAAAAAGGAGTCTAATTTCTGGCAGTCTGCAGGGGATGTGCAGATGGCCTGGAAGTCAGCAGGTGGCCAAAGACTTCTGGTGCTCACAGGGGAGGGAGGTGGGGATCGGGCAAAGAAAGGTCTTCCTCATCACCTGGGACACCAAGGACTGAGCCTGGGACTTTCTGCATGCCGGTCAGGGGTTCTGTCATGGAACTGTGGCCCGCCTGCGAAGCCCACCCCAAATTCACATTGGATCAATAGGATACGGCTAGGATGTTGGAATCAGACTTGGTGTTGATACTTAAGGGCAAAACTGTTCCTTATATGGAGAGGCTGCTTCACACTTCTCTACGCTGAAGGATGTTAACAGCAGACCATTTCTTAGTGAAGAACAGGTGCTTGAGATTTGCAAGACACCTGTAGGACCCATCTGTTAGCATAAATACAAGCTGAAATGGTGGGAAACAAGCAGATTCACAGGCAGGTATTGTTGACCTCACTCCAGCTCCCAGCCGAAGAAGAAGAAGGAGAAGAAAAAGAAGAAGAGAAGAAAAAGAGAAGAGATTGGATTTATACCCCGTCCTTCACTACCCAAAGGTGTCTCAGAGCGGCTTACAAACTCCTTTCCCTCCCCCTCCCCACAACAGACACCCTGTGAGGTAGGTGGGGCTGAGAGAACTCTGACAGAAACTGCTCTTTTTTCAAGGACAGCTCTTATCAGAACTATGGCTTGCCCAAGATCATCCAGCCAGGTGCAAGTGGAGGAGTGGGGAATCAAACACGGTTCTCCCAGATTAGAGTCCGCGCACTTAACCACTACACCAAACTGGCTCTCAACACCAAAACTGGAGGAGGAGGAGGAGGAGATTGGATTTATACCCCGCCCTTGAGGACCCGAAGGAGTCTCAGAGCAGTTTATAATCTCCTGTCCCTTCTCACAACAGACACCCTGTGAGGTAGGTGGGGCTGAGAGAGCTCTTTCGAGAACTGCCTTTGAGAGAACAGCTCTGAAAGAGCTTGTAGCTGACCCATGGTCACCAAACTGGCTCTCAAAGTCAGCCAGACATCTCTGAGCACTCGTTCTCCATGCTGTGATGCTGGACCTAACTCCTGGGATATGTGGCTTGATCTCCATTAATGCCAAACAAAGATACACATGCATAGCAGTGGGATGGGCCCAACACAGACTGGAGATGCAGAGCTGAGAAAGATGGAAGTTGACACCCTGCACCATTTCCCCAATCAGAAACGGCTCACTTGGGCTGCTTTTAGTCCCAGGCAGGAAAGGCAGCAGGCATAGGGTTACCAAGTACCTACCTATGAATTGGCGGGGGACACGTGTAACACAGCCGCGTCGCACTATCCTGTT